CCCCAAGGGGGACATCCCCCGCGACTCGGGCTGCTTCGAAGGATCCGAATCACTGGAGAGCGGCCGGGACGAGGCGGAGCTGCCCTGCACTGAGGAGCAGCTCCGGGCTCTGGCGCTAGACGAGTCCTCCTGAGCCTGCCCTGCCCCAAGCCTGCGAGGAGCAGCACAGGACAGGACCCCCGGGCACGCCCCACCCCCAGGCACGGTGCCCACCCTGCAGGGGACTGGCATTGGGAGCCCGAAGGGCAGACACGGGCTGGTCCACGGTCGGCTGCCGAGGTCCCCGCCCTACAGCTCTGTCCTGGGGGAGCCGCCGGGGCCCCCCGCACTCCAGCCAAGACAGACCCTGCTGCTGCCAATCGCTCGGCCCCCAGCCTCTCCATTAGACCCTGCAGGCTCTGCGCCGTGCACTAGCTGAGAGCCGGGGGCTGCCTGGGCCTCGCTGGAGGCTGCGGGAAGCAGCACCCCTTTGAACGGGAAGCCGGCGGGAGGTGGCTGGCGTCCGAAAGCCCCGTGCCTGAGGCCGGGCAGCGGAAGGTGCCCAGCAGAGGCTGTCTACGAGGGCGGCTACGCGAGGAGGCCAGGGAGCTGGACACCGAGGATGGAGAGCGCTGTGGCTCTAGCGCAAGGCGGCTGCAGGGCGACCCGTGGCAGAGCAGGGCCACGGGGCCCACGCGAGAGCCTTGCCACGCAAAGCGCCAGGAGCAGCATTCCCCTGCACGGGGCGCGTCCTTGCAGGGCCCAGCTTGGCGGGAAAGCAGAGGATTTGGTTCCAGGGGCTTTGCTGGCCCTCGTCACAGCACGCCGAGTCGTGGAAATTGGCCCACGCTGCAGCAAACCACCCCCCATGTGCATTCTCTGGGGCTCTGGCCGGCCGAGAGCCTTGCCACGCAAAGCGCCAGGAGCAGCATTCCCCTGCACGGGGCGCGTCCTTGCAGGGCCCAGCTTGGCGGGAAAGCAGAGGATTTGGTTCCAGGGGCTTTGCTGGCCCTCGTCACAGCACGCCGAGTCGTGGAAATTGGCCCACGCTGCAGCAAACCACCCCCCATGTGCATTCTCTGGGGCTCTGGCCGGCGGCGGCTCGGCGGGAAACGCACCAGTGTGTTGGAAAAGCCCTGCACCCGCACTCCCGGCCTTCCCTGCCCTCTGGCCCGTCTGCCTTGGCGAGGCAGCGTCCTCACCTCCCACCGGGCGACGACAGCCGCCGGGCACCGCCA